ATATATATATATATAAAGGTTGTATTGGAGATTAATAAGCGATTTAGAAAGCCCTACGAGGGAAAACCATTTAAGAGAAAGAGGAAATCTTTTATTCCGCGCGCGTATGGTAGAAAAGCTTATTTTCATAAAGCTATATATGTGAGTAGCGGGGAGAGTGTAAGAAGAGGTGTAATCTTGATAATTCATTCGTCATATTGGAAATCAAAGTGAGAACTGTTACAACATGGACGTAGGTCATCTTGATCGAACTTTCGAGTAGTTGTGGAGCCTAATTATTATCCTGATAATTATTGTCTTATGCGCAGAAAAATACATAGTTGTGAGTTGTGCAATTTTCTTTTATGAGCTTCTTCTTTATTATAGTGAATTAAGGACTTAGGTCTCACATTAAAATGAACGTCTATAAATTTTATGTGTTCACTGTTACTTCTACCTTTTTATTGTTCTCAGTAATATAAAATTAGGAAGTCTATCCTTAACAAACTTATGTAGAAATCTGTTCTTGTGTGAATGATTTCTAGTGTTGTCGCTGTTTGATCAATTGTCTATGTAATTAGGGTATAAGTCTCCTTCAATAATATATTATTCAGCATTATTGTACATTCCTTAGAGATCAACGACGATAAGAATATTTTTTTCAGTGTTGCCGTCATAGCTAATTGCAATATTCTGATAATTGTCAACAGGAGATGATTAATGTTCGAAACTAACCTATATAGAAGACCCCACAAAATTCTGCTTATCTATCCACACCAATTCAAATGTGTCATATTTGTTAAAATCGCATCAATGGCTCGCATCTTTCTTAGATAATTTGGTCCCCCCCTCCCCCCGATAATGCACCAAAGAAAGATGTTCAATATATTACTTCTCTTTATTTTTCTTATATTCTAACTCCTCATGTGGTCCAAATCTGGTACTTATGCACCAATGTTGGCACTTTTTTTTTAAATGAAGACATTGACAACTTTTGAAGAAAAAAAAAAAAGAAAGAAAAGAATTATACATGTTGCTTTCATTAGTACCTACTAATATTACTAACCTTTACGAAAACTTCAATTTTTTATTTTTTATTTTTTGAAAAAGAAAACTTCATTAACTTATATTGAAAGCGCACCCTCAGGAATCAAATAAAGAATATTCCTTCATTAGCGATCAGGACAAAGGAAAAGACAATAACAAATAAAACAGAATTATAAGACATCAGCATATAGGCAATACATGCGCCAAACAATCAGGGCGGAGCTGCCTATGGGCTCCTTAACGTTTTTCCCCCATTAATACAAATTTTTTGCAAATTTTCTCTTTATTTGTCCTCCTGAATAACAATATTTACAAGGTTTCTTTAAAAAATTTTAATTATACCTTAAGTTTTGATTTTTTTAAAATAATCTTATTTTTATGTTTAAAATCTCTAATAAATCAAAAATCAACTATTTAGCTAGCTTTGCTTGTTCGCAGCGTGTTGATTTCTTTTGGTTTGATTCGGTTCCATTATTTTTGTTTCCATTTGTAAAAGCAGAACTTTTGTTTGCTTGAATAAAAGTGCCTTCATTGTTTTTTCTTTTTTTTTTTTTTTTTTTTTTTTTTTTTTTTTTTAAGTAGGAAGATAAGTACCTTAAACTTTTAGCCTACAAAAGTCTTCAAGAAAGAAGATGCAATGAAATTTCTCCTTATATATGGACCTACCATACATATTACATACCGTAATGGATCGAAGGTCAAATTTCTGTACGACTTCTTATATATATACTTTCTTAACGTATATGACATACATAATTACAAATCTGCAGAATTTTTTTGGTAACATATCTTCGTATGTACGTTATGATCATATTGCATCTCTTTGCATAAGCTAAACAAGTGTTTCATTTTCCAAACCAACGTAGTAAACTCTCCTTTTTTCCTGTAAAGTCGTTGAAGAGAGCACTTATATTTAAGCATTGCAATTTATATGTATATAGAATGTACGATGTAATAAATTTTTATGAAAAGCGAATAAAAAAATATACATCGCATTAATATAAATCAACTTATTATAAGTCGTTATTCCTCTTCCATTAATATAATTATCCCTTTTATTATATTTTAAAAGTTTAACTCATTATACGTCACATTATAATCATAGAGAACCTAGTAAAAACTTTATAAATTGGGCAAAAGAAGTACCCTAATATATCAACAAAAACTCAGAATTACAAGCAATTATAGGAATTAATTAGGACAGAATATGGGTACCGAAACCTCTCCTAGTGTAAAACTTCCTGTTATTGATTTCTCAATTCAACCTCTCAAACCAGGAACTGAGTGGGACTTGGTGAGATCCCAAGTCCGGCAAGCACTCGAAGAGTTCGGTTGCTTTGAGGCTTTGTTCGGCAAAATTTCTTTGGACACTCGGAGAGCCATTTTCGATACACTACAAGAGCTTTTTGACCTTCCTTTACAGACTAAACTGAGAAATGTTTCGAAGAAGCCTTTTCATGGCTATGTCGGCCAATATCCTCAGATGCCGCTGTTTGAGAGTATGGCCATCGACGATGCAAACATCCATGAAAATGTTGAAAGTTTGGCTAATATCTTGTGGCCCCAAGGAAACCCAAATTTTTGGTATTTCTAACTTTCCTTTTCGCGTTTAACATACTGTATTCAGTTAACACGTGTTATTTAACCGTCAAATTTTCATTAAATTCCATCAGACTCGCATGCTATTTAGCTATCATGTATGATTCCGTTACGATCTAACGTTTGGCAAATGATCTCTGTTAGATAATTGTTACGCCATTGGTTAACATCGTTTTAGTTACATCATGATGTCAAGTATTTGATGGGATTTTAGTATTAGTAAATATGAATTTTCGATCACATTTATTTATTTATTTATTTTTTTTTGTTGAATTGGCATGCAGCAAAATTATACAATCCTACTCGGAACAACTATCCGAGTTGGATCAGATAATCAGGAGGATGATTTTGGAGAGTTTGGGAGTTGAGAAATACTTGGAGGAACACCTGGGGTCAGCAAACTACCTTCTTCGAGTCATGAAATATAAGGGCCCTCAAACCAAAGAGACCAAGATGGGGTTGAGCGCTCACACAGACAAGAACATAGTCACCATTTTGTACCAAAATCAAGTTGAGGGCTTAGAGGTTCAAACCAAAGATGGTGAGTGGATTTCTGTCAAGCCCTCACCGAATTCTTTCATCGTCATGATCGGAGATTCGCTCTACGTAAGTTGCCTAATTTCCATCTTTTCTTACAAGTTCCATAAATGCGGTAAACCTAGGGGATAAAGCTAAAATAAAGATATAAGGGCAATAAAACAAAACGTTTTTTTTTTTTTATTTTATTTAAGTGAAGACAGGCTGATTTCAACCTACTACTTACTTACACATTTAAACAAGATTAGCATCCATTCTAGAAGCTATCCCACATTGAGCCAGAAAGAAATTAAAAATTAAAGGTATAATTATAATAAAGAGTATAAGTAATCGAATAATAAGGATCGAAATTAAAAATTACAATTAAAATGTTGATAATTACATATTGATCACGGTAATTTCACCGCAGGCATGGGCAAATGGCCGACTACATTCTCCATGTCATCGTGTGATTATGACGGGAAGTGAGGCAAGGTACTCGGCGGGGTTGTTTTCGATTCCAAAAGCAGGTTACATAGTAAAAGCTCCAGAAGAGCTTGTCGATGAAGAGCATCCTTTGCTGTTCAAGCCCTTTGACCATGTCGAATTCCTTGAATTCTTCTATAGAGAGGCTGGTCAGAGAGCTGAATCTGCTCTCAAGACTTATTGTGGCGTCTGAGTCCACCTCGCATTTATATAGCATGTAATATTGAGACAAATTCTAATTGTCTGATCTTTATCTTTGTGCTTGCGTGACGGTATGTAATTAATCTGTACTTCTTTCGTGTCAAGTAAAATCATGTAATAAGTACTTTTATTTTGGTAATATGTGTGTGAGTGAGTATAACATCAGACTAGGAGAGGAGAGAAAGTTGAAAGATCCATTTTTAGCAATTTATCGGATATAATTACTATCAAATTAGTTATTTTTCTGAAATGATAAATCATAGAATGAACACATGCAATTTTTACGTTGTTTGGTATAAACCTACTTTCACAAAGTCACGCTTAACTATTGAACAATCCACTACATCTCAAGGCAAAACGTGCAGATGCCCTAAAAGCCTTCAATTGCATTTGATTTGAGACTTAATTATATAGAGCAACACGAAATTCTATCTCTAAGTCTCGGCCGAAAATCTTTCAAAATTTGAATGTTGCAAAATTTGTTCCACTGTTCTTTGCAACATATCTATTCTCGAGTTTCAAATCTGATTCCTGACAAGACAATATGTCATATGTTTGGCGTTTCTTCTGACTTTTGCTCTTATGGGAAGGCACGTGGCTCATAGAAAAAGAGATGGAAATTTCCCAATCTCATCAACACTCGCAAGGATATAAGATTATAGCTTCGAGGAACCCTCAACCAGTTGACTACCACATGAAACATTGTAATATAGAGTTCTCATCCGATCGGGGACTATTAGGATTACTCAATAAGTCTGGAAAAGAAACAAACAGCTGTGGATTCGGCCTTCGAGCCACCATGGCTGCAATCCATAAATCTTCGTGGTAACCGACGCACCTACACAAGAAATACGAGTCCATGTTGCGTGCTTGCTTCCGCCGCCGTAACAAATAAAAGAAAGTTTAAAAATATTAAAAAAAAAATCGACAAATGCCTTGATTGTGGCATTATCATGGCTTCCAAGATCTCCTCAGCCTTGACCCACTCTCCATTGTGCATAGCTCTCCAACTCCGACTCCATATCCGAATCTGAATCTGAATCCAAGTCCTTAAACTTAATACGACAAGAAAACAAGAGAGAGAGAGGTTGTTAGTTCAAACCTCAATGGTCAGGTTACCAAGTTGTTGGTACATGATCTCCAAAAATGTGATTATGGAGAGGGAGAGACTCGCGAGGAGATAATAGAGAAGGGTTCGGGGAATTGGAGAGTCCAGGAATTTTGAGATGAGAGGAGAGGATATGTCTATATTATATATGAAATGAATGAGAGATGGTGGTTTCAATTTGAAGGAGGAGAAAAGTGAATCAATAGGGAATTATTATTTTTTTTTTATTTTTTTTATTTTTTTGGGAAAGTCTATCAATGAGAAGGAGGAATTGGCTAAAGTGATAGAGGGTTTTTGAGGCTTTGTTGAACAAAATTTCTTTAGACACTCGATGAGTGGTATTTGATACAATACAAGAGCTTTTCAACTTTCATTTTCAAACCAATGAACTACAAAATGCACCGGAAAAACCTTTTTCATGGCTATCTAGGCTAATCTCATATGCTTCCACAGCTCGAAAGTATGGGCATTGACATAAGTCGATCAACCCAAACATTCATGAAAATGTTGAAAGCATTACTAATATCTTTTGGCCCCAAGGAAACACAATTTTTTTGGCACATGCTTCTAGATATATAAGAGATTGGTATAATTTATGTAGATATTTGAATTTTGCCATTTAAACAATTTGTAATTAAGGGCTTGTTTTGTTTATAGGTTTGAACAAAAATTTAAATTTTTTAAAATAAATAAATAAAACATTGTAGCAAAAGATTTAAACAGTAATTCGAGCCTATAAAATAAAAACGGGGACTAAATTTATTTTGTTACCATAATTGTTTGAGATTTTTTAACTATCTTGTATATATTGCTAATCACTTTGCAATCAATGGAATTTATGTCACGGAAAATGCATTGATGTCACTGCCACTGAGCTTAGGTATCCGACATTATATACCATACATATTTTGCTGCTTGAACTAAGAAGGCTCTTTATAGTTTAAAACAGAACCCTGGCCGTGGTATAATGAACTGCACCAGTTCTCTTATCCACCGTTTTTGTGAACTCTCAATCGACATTCTTTAATTCTTTATCCATTTACAGTACTAATCACGGGCTTGGTCTAATTTTCTTATCTATATGGTTGATATCATAATTATTGACGAGAGTGATATGATCGTCTCAAACTTATTAATCGTTTTTAATCGTTTTTAATTAAAGATCTTGGGTGCTCTTCCAATATACTTTCATGTCGCTGAAGTCATATCTACCTTCGTGGCTCGGGTTACATAACATCATGCCATTTAATCCCTTTAGTCACTACAAATGTTGGTCTGAGAGCTGAATCCGCTCTCAAGACGTTTTAAGTTGTCTGATATAGTCAACTTGCTGTGCGTGATTATCATAAATTATCTAACTTGTAATTTCCATACCATCTTCTTAATTCGATCGCATCGTGAGGATTTGAGAGATGAAACAAAATACTTTCCTTTTGGCGTCATGTCAAAATCCGAATTGAATGCGGAGAAATTATATATACTTTTGTTTTGAGATGAACAGGAACTTGTAATTTCTTTTTTTAATACACAGTTTTCTCATTTTTAAACCGATTACGTACATAGCCTAATACGAATCTTCCAAATTCAACAAATTAGTACTTTTGAATTTTGTGAAAGGTAATGAAATGGTAGGTTTTCAGTGAATTGATAAAATGGTACGTAGAATGTTTGTTGATATTTCAATTCAATATACGATAATTTCCCCTTTTTGGTGTATATGTATATATTTATCACAAGGACAAATATTACACACTGAGAAAACAAAAGCGCAAAGCAAAAAAAAAAAAAAATGTAAGGATCGTATCTATAAAATTTTAAAAAATTTTGACGTCATTTTTATTTTATTTTCTTTTTAAAAAACAAAAAATAAAAAAATCATAAAAAATAGAATATTCATCAAAAAATGGTGCCGTTTATTGCATTAATTCATAAAAATCGTATATTAATTTTAGAATGTAAAACATAAATAAAAATGTAAATTTTTTACCCATCCCGGCCCCAGGGCGCCCCACTATGCGGTTTGGGGGCTTTTTGGCGGCGTTTTACTTTTTTCTCTCATTTTCTAGGGCCATTTTTTGCAAGCATGCCCAGAAAAATGTAAGGATCGTGTCTACAAAATTTCATAATTGTGTGACGTTAATTTTATTTTATTTTATTTTTCAAAGATGAAAAATAAAGAAAATCATAAAACATAGAATATTCACCAAAAAATAGTGCCGCTTATTACATTAATTCATAAAAATCGTACATTAATTTTAGAATGCAAAACATAAATAAAAATGTAAATTTTTGACCCATCCCGGCCCCCGGGCGCTCCACAACGCGGGCCAGGGACTTTTTGACAGCGTTTTACTTTTTTGTTATTTTTTAGGCCATTTTTTGCAGGCACGCACAGAAAAATGTAAGGATCATGTCTGTAAAATTTCAGAATTTTTTGACGTCATTTTTATTTTATGTTATTTTTCAAATATGAAAAATAGAGAAAACCATAAAAAAATAGAATATTCATCAAATAAAAGTGCTGCTTGTTGCATTAATTCTTAAAAATCATGTACTAATTTTAGAATGCAAAACATAAATAAAAATATTAATTTTTGAACCATCCCGGCCCCGGGGTAACCGCGGGACACCCCCAAGACCCCCCCTCCCCCCCGGAACACCTCCGGCTCACCCCCGGAACAACCCCTCGACACCCCGGGACACCCCCAGGAGGACCCCGGGAGACCACCGAGAAACCCCCGGGGCACCCCCGCGACACCCCCAGCTCACTCCCGGGATACCCCCTGAACACCCACGGGATACCCCCTGAACACCCACGGGACACCCCCGGGGCACCCCCGGGACACCCCAGAGACACCCCTGGCTCACCCCTGGGACACCCCCTTGACACCCCGGAACACCCCCAGGAGGACCCCGGGAGACCGCCAGGAAACCCCCGGGGCACCCCCGGGGCACTCCCAGGACGACACGGGGAGACTCTCGGGACACTGCCGGGACTCCCTCGGGACACCTCCGGGGCACCCTGGGCAACCTCGAGACACCCCCGGGACACCCCTGGGACACCCCCGGGCAACCCCAGGACACCCCTGGGACACTCTCGGGACACCCCCTGGACCCCCCCGGGGCACTCCCGGGAGACCCACAAGGCACCCCCAGGACACCCCCAGGGCACTACCGAGACACCCCCGGGACACTACCTGGGCAACACTAGGCCACCCCCAGGACACCCCCGGGATGATACGAACCACAGCAACAACGTGACGAAACCCGTAGACAATTATGGAATTTCGATTCAAGATCTTCAATAATTGATGGAAACCGCGACCCGTTGCTTAGCAAAGCAAGAACCTTGGTATGGTGAAAACACCACAAATGAATATGGAAAATCCGTTTAATAAGTCGGGTTTGAACGCCCCAAGAAAACCTTGATAAGTTCATAATAGTTCTTCAAGAACTCAAGAAGAATATCTCACAAAGTGAATAAACATCAAAAACTTACTTTATTAATCTGAATTTCGGCCTTAAATAACCAAAAACAAGATGAAAAGTTTAAAAATTGTAAAAATCCTGATCTACTCTTAATGAGGTAGAGCCTAAAGTAAGATAATCACGTAAAGATAAGATAAACACACCTAAAGATAACTCCTAGGGAAGGAATCCGAATTGAACTCTAATCCCTTCCTTATAAACGCCTAAAAACTTATCCTACGGAAGGAATCTGAATTTGAATCTAATTCCTTTCTTAGAAACGCCTAATAACTTATCCTATGGAAGGAGTCTGAATTTGACTCCAACTTATTCCTTCTAAACATGCCTAATTTGGAATGTAAATGCTAACTTCAAACTTAAATCTAAAAAAGATAAGATTAGGACGAAATCAAGTC